CGCATCCTTTGAATCCAAATCTCCTCCCTTTGAAGTGGCATAAAGGTGGCAGCTCTGGTTGGAGCACACACATGAAAATACTCGAGCCGGGAAACACATATCCCAGGGAAATGCAAGAAATTTTCCCGTTGAACTCAAGTAGCTATCATGCATACATATATGTATATATCCTTTTTTTTTTTTTGGTTGGCAGGTAAATATGGCTGTCGCTGCACAGATAACGCTAACACCGCTGAACTTTCACCGCTTTCTGCGCTGTGCACTCCTCGTCTTTCCTTTCTTTTCCTTTCTCCTGCTTACCTTTTCCCTTTTCCGCTGCGTAACCACATTTATGCATTTGCTATTTTTGCAAAAGACATGCAGACTAGCAGACACACACACGCACACAGCGGAGTCGAAGCCAAATATTATTGAAAACCAAAATTTCAAGGTAAACACAGCTGCAGAACTTGGGCAACAGGAAAAAGGACGAGCTGAAGAGAGCTCTGACTGAGCGTGGTATTTATGACAGGGAAATAAATTTGCATTTTTTTCGGTTTTCATTCTTCTGTATACCAAATCAAAATTTAAAATATATACACCTATTATCCGAAAAACTCTATTGCCAATCAATTTAATCAATATTCCTTTCAAAAGTGGAAAATCTAAAAATAATATGCGTTATTTTTTTTTCAAACCAAAAGTTAACTTAATAACTGCCACAAATTGTGTCATCGAATTTGGTGAATGAAAAGAGTTAATTAAATGAATAAATGATTGCCAGCGCTTGACTGCAAATTAATTAATTAATTTTTGGATTATAAATAAAACAACTTCATTGAAGGTTCTTTAACTTTAAATTTAAAAACTTCTATATATTTAATTCCCAGAATCAGAGCAATTAGTCATCTGTAAGCTGATTTAATCTCATAAAATTCAACTTAACTTGGTGTTATTTTCATGGTCCTTGTGCACTTAGCGTAATATTTCAAACTGCAGGCTGAAAAGTCCTGTTTTTAGTCACCTATTTGGCTCCGATCGCTTCCGGGCATCGTTTTTCTGGTAATTTTGTCGCCTTATCGCACTCATGGCATCGGGACACAGCAATTAAGCGGCCATTGTCCTCTGGGCCGATTTTCCTGGTAATTTACGGAGTGTCGCAGAGTCCAGTCCGTCTGTCGCTGTAACATAACTCAGTCTGCAGGAGAGGAGCAACAATTGCCGGAGTCCCTGCCCAGCCTAAGCCGTGCGAAATTATTGCATACTTACAGGGGCAGGAGCAAGAACGAAGGAAGGATGCACGCGAGCCCTTTAAAAGCTAGGGAAAAAAGAAAACTCTGCATAAAAACTAGGTGAAAAGACGACGACGACGACTGACTGTGTGTGTGAAGGAAATGAATTTATATGGCACTTAATGGCAGCAAGGCGGGGGCCAAGGCGACAGCTGAGCAGGGAGAAAAGTGTAAACAAGCCCGGGAACATGGGAATGAGAACAAACACATTGAAAATTGGGTAAAGTAAGATAAATACTTCATAAAGTGTCAGCCGGTGGTGCAGCAGGATTCGGTTAGTCGAAGGCAAAGGTAGGGGAGGAAACAGAACAGGATCTGGCATATAAATACCATGTTAAACTTATGTTTACTCAAGGTGAGCTGGCATCAAATTCCAAATACCAGCACTCACTTTCACTTTGCCGAAAAAGGATAAATTACAGGAATGTGAATGCTTGTTTGTTTATTCAAAAATTCCAATTTGCCTGCAATAAATAAAATGCCAGCAAGGTGTCCTTTTTAAAGGTTTCCAAAAAATACTTGTCACTCACTGGTTGATTTTTAAAGCTATCACTACTTTTATAGCAGTTAAAAGCTGTGCTTAGTTTAAAAATAGCTATTAACTAAAGACATACTTCATTCAGTGGCTCGTTATGCTTCGCTTTAAGAAATATCCTGTCCAAGGCTATAAAAATGTCTTTTATTTGGAACTTTTTGCCACCTTCCCTACCCACCTGCCACATGCATGGGCAGCCGCATTTTTTCTTTACCCTGCGTCGTGCCATTGTTTGGCCGTATTAAAACTTGGCCAAGACTTTTCACAGTTTCTTTGTGGGCAGAGGCAACCTTTGCGAGCGCCGCCTTTTGAAATCTGTGAATGGCAATTTGCTCCTTGAAGTGAATACATTTAATTGCTAACAAATGCCAAAGGGCCAAGGGTCTTCAGACAATTGGCGCCACCTCTGCTGAGGCTTACGTGCGAAGAAGCCCGTGCGAGTGCACTTGATATGTCCTGGCCGCAGCGTTCAAGGCTTCCATAGACTATAATTATTCCGTAACGCATTAAACTACCGCACTAATTGGGAAATGAAATATTCGTGCAAGATCCTCTCCTTCCTGTGCCTTCGGGAAACTTACACCTCAGCGCACGAAGTGGATCCGATATATTTCCTGTCGAATTACTGGCTCTGTCGGCTAACAGAGGTCCTTGCTGCTGGTAACACAGCTATGTCGGGTGATAACATTACATTGGGTCTAACATCAATCTGTTTATGTGGCAGCTTAACATTACATAAGGATGTCTGCTAAGGATGTTCATGTTCGTGCCTTCTGCTAGTTGACATAGCCAGCATCCAAAGGGGAAAAGTGTTCTGTTAAGGCAATTTTTAAGACAAGCTTACAGACAGCTTATAAAACAGACCGCTGTAATGTTAGTTACATTAACATTTATATTAACAGACAAAATAAATATAAAAATATTTCAAAATAAAAGCTACAAATTATAATATATTAAGCAAATGAAGACTTACTTTTTTTTTAATATAACCCAGCACTTAAATTCAAAATATACCAAATATTGGTATTTATAAATACAAAATATTGCTATTTTATTAAATAAAAATATAATTTTGTAATTAAAATAAACAATAAATAAACCATATTTGCTGGGAATTACCTAAGAATAATAAGTATCAACATTTTACTCTCATTTTAAATAATTCTACCATTTACATTTACATTTAATAATTAAAAACAAATCAAAGACCATAAGTTATTATAACCTAGTTCAAAGGAAGCCACAATACTCATAATAAACTATATTTAACCGCTCGTATTTCTATTTATTTTTCAATTTATTATTTAATGAACCACAAATATTTACAAGCTTGTCCGGAAGTTCATTCTAACAAAAGCAAAGTTTGTGGCGGCGTGCTTCTCTTTTTAACTAATTGCGGAAAATGAACTTTTCTTGAAAATTTCAGAAGGGGCGACGGGCTGCTCTAGGAGAAAGTGTTTGTTTGCTGGTTTGTTTGTTTGCCTCGCCATGAATTATTAAGAAAAAACATTTAATAATGCGCTTCAATCTTTGAGCACAGTTGCCGAAAGAGCTTTTCCTCCTGGTCCTCGATTTTCTGCTTTCCTGTCCCCGTCCCACTCCTTTGCCGTTACCGTCTTCATGCCAGCAATTTAATTAATCTGCACAAAATATGCAACACAGCAAAAGTTTGCCAGCCAGCAACAAAAACAATAATAGCAAAACATTGAAAGGCAGACAGACACATAAACACACATGATGTGAAGATGTGAAGAAATTGCCGCAGTTTCCCACCGAAAGTGGGTGTGTGTGGGGTCTGTGCACGGTGAAAATATATAGTCGAATTTTTTAGAATAGATAATGAATTATCAAGAAAATCTGCAGGGACTTATTCAATTTTATCTATTTTTTATATTTCCAAGAGCATTTCGGTGTGTTTTAAGTGGTTTACAAGAAAGATATTGAAACTCTACTAAATATTAAACAATTCTGGCAATAAAACCAAATTAAGTTAATTTAAAAAAATCCTTTGTTAATTTATTAAGCGAATTATTATGTATAAGGTATAGAATGTTGGTGGAAAATCTTTAGAAACTAATTAAAAATGTAAGTTGTATTCTTTTCTATATAATTTAATTAATTTATTACATTAAACACTTCTTGTAGGCGAAAAATATTAAAAATTTTTGGTATTTTTAAACAAATTCGCAACAATGGAATCCTAAAATGCCATTCAATAAAATGAAATATTTTAGCAAACTCTTCCTCTAAACATTCCTTTTTTTATTTGCATATAAAATAGTAATAGATCCACTAAAACACATTCGTATCCTTGCCGTGTACTAGTGAGTGCTGGTGCCTAAAAGCAAGCAATGGCAAATGGCAAAGAACAGTGAACAGAGGGCAGAGTTCAGAGGCCAAAAGACTGCAACAAAACGAGCAGCAGCTGAGAGAGAGGCAGTGGCAATAAGATTACTTAATTGATTTAAATTTGCTTGTCTAGTAAGGAGATAGTGCGGTAGCGAAAGGGGCGGTACGGAGATACTGTGATACGGTGGAGAGGTTGCTTCTGGGGGGCTGATGTTGCACAGTGTTGACAAGCTCAAGGCACAGAAAATGCAAAACAACAGCAGAAACAATGACAATGGGAATAAGAAGTGCACGTAATTTAAGAGCAGCCAAAAGAAAGCCGATCACTGGAAGAAATTTGTACCAATTTAAATTTTTTTTATAAATTCAAATGGAGAAGGCAGCTCAAAAAATAGTATAAGTGGGACCTTTCATTTTGATAACTATGCTTAGATCAATATAATTTTATTATTAGTTTATAAAAGTTTTAAGTAACACAAGCAAAACAATAACATATATTAAATATATAACATATTTATAAATATTATTTATTCACTCCAAGTTGATATAAAGTTCTCTCTTGCCAACATTTAAATGGGTTTCATTCTGTAAATAATTTTCTTTTAAAATTACTCCTTATTCATTTCCCTTTATAAAATATGAAATATTTTCTTTCAGTGCAGACTGCTCCTTGGTGTGTTTGCTATTTAATGCTTTTCTTTTGGTTGTCTCTGGCGATAATTATAAGGCGGCTGATGACGATGATGCTCGCGGAGGAGACAACATGTCGTATGCATTATATTCATAACGCGAATAATTAATCACATTACGCTTTAAGGAATGCCCTAGACTTTTATTCAATTTGACCCAATGCGCCATGGGATGCCATCGAGGCCAGGGCCAAGTATCTGGAGTCCACCTTCCGCCAGACATTCGAGCAGCATGCCAGCAAGGATTCACCGGGTGCCCAGGAGAAGTCCAAGAGCAGGGATCCCAGCCAGACGCCCAGTCGGGTGAACTTCTGCGAGGAGCTGTGCGACATTGCCGCCTCCCAGCTGCCGGACTTGTGGCGCCTGGGTCAGCTGTACTTCACTGGAGAGCTGCGCGGTCCCCATGATCCCAAGCCCGGCGACTTTAAGCGCATGGTGCTGACTGCCATTGAGAAGTTTTGTGTCTACTTGCGGCTGGCCATCCTTATTGCTGCGGATCAGCGGGCCCTGCGCCAGACCAGCGGGCTCTCCTGGCCCATTGGCTCTGCCTCGGCCACGCATCAGTTCTTGCCCTGGATTCCGCAGTGTCTGCGCTACACAAGGATCGCCTATGCCTCGCTCATCAGCCTGGACCTGCCCTCGGAGGCACTGGACATCATACAGAAGCTTATCGATGAGGTGCGTCTATTTTGCTTCTCAATCATCTTCAAGCGGGCCACGGATCGCTGCAAGAAGCTGGGCACACATGAGACCTGGGAGCTCGGAGTGGAGGAATATCCAGGCGCCACTCTCTTACCGGCCGCCCTCGAAGCTCTCCTCATCGAAACACTGGATGAAGTGCAGACAGTGTGCATGCAGCCGGAGGCAAGGGAGGGCAATCTTCTGGAGCCGCAGTCGGATGGCCAGCGGGAGGTGACCCAACGGCTGCAGGAGTTCCTTTCCGCCTTCAGCGGTGTCATCGAAGAGCTGGCCTTTCACTCCCACGACGAGGAGACACCCACGCACAATGTGTCACAGTTGCTGGGATTCCCGAATGCCCAGCAGCCAGATTCGGTGGCTGGAAGTGGAGGAGGAGTAGGATTAGGTAGTGGCACAGCAGCTGTCACCTGGGAGCAGCGCATGCTCTGCTGCCTGGCCAACTATGCGTACTGCAACAAGAGCTTCTTCCAGCATCTCGGTGAGATATTTGTGCGCTACGGCTACCCACTGCCCACGCTGGCCATCGAAACGGCCAGGTACACGGTGAACCAGCTCTTTACCAATCTACTGGAGGAGTACGTGGAGCACAAGGGCGACCCGCTGGTGGGCACCATCGAACCCTCCATGTACCTGGGTCGCTTCCAATGGGATCACGAGATGGAGATTGGTCAGCTGCGGCCGTATGCCCACGAGTGCTGCGATAATCTGGTCGGTGTCTACTCGGAGATCTACAGCATATCGCCGGCTTTATTGCGACCGATCCTCGAGTCAATTGTGCAGACCATATCCGAGGAGCTGGCCCGTCTAATGAGCTGTGTCCAGCGGTTCAGTTTTACGGGCGCAATTCAGGCGCATGTGGACATACGCCTGCTGAGGGATGCCCTGGAGGGATATGTCAATGAAACGGCCAAGTAAGTAAACTTGTGAGATATCAGGGAGAGTTAAAGAACTCTATTTTCCTATAGAAACTATTTCATGGAGGCACTGGAGGCCATCAATCCCCCCCTGAATGGCGAGCAAAAGCGCAAGGCGGACGAGATCCTAGAGCGGGTTAAGCGGAATATGCGGCTGCAGTTGCTCTGTTTTGGGGTCAAGGAACCATAAGGACATTCCACTGCCAACTTTTAGATAGATAGCCTTAACGATAATAGCTTGTGATGACTCCCGATCTTCTGGGATAAAGATAAACCTTTATTGCAAAAACTCCCTCACTGTTACTCTATCTTAGATTCCCAACAGCTTTGGGTCAAAGGTAAAGTCACTGCCCTCTTTCTCGTACTTCTCAGCCATCAGCTTGATGACTTGCTCCACATCGATGGCATTGAACTTCTCCTGCACGCGCTGCTTGATCGGGTTCTCGATGGCGTCCATAATCTGATACCGCAACAGATTGGGTATCACATTCACCAGGAACTCCATGATGTAGTCCAAGGTGCCAGCGCCATCGCAACGCACCTGGATGTTGCCCATATCAAACTGCAGATCGGTGACCTGTGCCCGCTTCCTCGTGTCCATGGACTGGCTTATGCCTATGGTGGCCCGGATGTGCTGCACTGTGAATTGGACATGACCCACACGTGTCATCATGCCCAGACCCACCTCCCACTGGCCGGCACCAGTTATCTGCTGGGTGCCTAGCTGCAGAAGCACCGACACCGTCTTGTTGGCCATGCCGGCTGTGATGTTACCAACGCGGTAGAAACTGGAGACGCCGTTGATCCAGGTGTGGGCCAACTGGACACTGAACACGCCCATCGTCCTATTCATATCGGGCAGGTGATACGGATCGTAACCCTTCTGTCGCACTATCTTTCGGCCCATGGCAATGGCGCTGTCCAGCGGTGTGATAGAGTTGGGCAGCTTGCGGTCACCCAGCGAGGTCTGGATCATATTGCGCCAGTATCCATGTGTATGTGTGTGCACCAGCATGGTCATGTCCACTGCGTCAATTTAGCTGCGATGCTGGGGCCAGGGACGATGTCCATAAGCCGCCAAATCATTGCTCCAACACCGTCAACTGACCCCAAAGGCATCGTTTTGTTGCTTTGTTTTCTGGGCGTGTGTTCGCTTCTGCGGTTGGCTGTTATTACGAGCCCAACGCGGAGCCACTTTGCCCAGCCCCATCCTAGCCCCAGTCCCAATACCCTAGCCCACCACCACCCTCTATGTTTCCCCCTAGCCCCGGCTCGTTAGCCTGACCATGGCCAACAAGGACACGAATATAGATGCAGACATGGACGAGGCCAGGCTGCTTAGTCATGCCTGCCAGTGCTGCGTCGACATCGTAGCTCCATCTCCATTCCCTGTCAGGACTCCTTCTAGTTACTGCACAGTTAAAAATTTTGATTTTAATTTAAATCTAAAATAAAGATGATTTGGTAAATATGTTTCCTATATTATTTCTTTGATTTTGTACTAACCAATTAAAATTTAAATAGTCTTCTGAGGTATTCTCAGAAGTCCAAAGTTTGTAACTATATAGAAAAGGCCTATAAAATATGTGCTTAAATACCTGATCTATGTATAAATTTCTATAATATATACATAATGCTCCAATTTCTCAGTGTGCAGCACATCCCCCGGTTGTATGTGACTTGCATGCTGCGCTGAGCGCCAAAGTTTTGACTTCAATTTGCCCAGTTACAAATTTTGGTCTTTTCTGGCGGTTTTTTCCATCGTGTTTTTCGTTTTTCTTCAAACCATTTTCAAAAAAAAAAAACAACAACAACAAAAAATACACCACAGTCAAGACAAGACGGAAGCTAGAGGAGCGAAAATGTGGTGAAAGACTTGACCAGGCTTTTGGGGCGACGTGTTTTGGCCACATCAGTGGCAGGGCCATCATCATCAGCATCATCATCATCATCACCAGGAACAACAACTAAGATGGAGAGGGAATTGGGCTAGTTAAATCCCATATCCCATTCCTTAGAGCAATGAGGGAGTTGCAGATGGTGATTGTGACAGGAATTTGGAACAGTTACGGATATATTGCCGTATAGATCTAAGCATAATAATATTTTAAATTGAAAATAATAACCAATAAAAATAGAAAAATAGATTTAATATGTATAATATTTAAAGTGAAATTACTACAAATTTAGATATTTTATTTAAAGATCTAGGACTCTTTTGTTTCTGTTTGAAAGTTATTGGAAAAAAAATGCTGCTTTAATTTCTATTTAAAATTCTATAAAATTGTCTAAGCAATTGTCTAATAAACACATAAATTTGATAAGGTTTTGTTTAACAAGCTCTATATTGTTAATGTTTACCTCAGAATTAGAAAGGAAGCTAACATAGAGATGCCGACAGGGGTATAAATATCGAAACACTTGTGGACCCAGACGAGTTCAATGTACAGATATATAGGACCGACCAGGGCAAAATAATGCGAGACGTCTTTGCACTTTTGCCTTTTCTCGGAAGCGGAAATTGGAAAAATGCTAGCGGCATTTTGTTGGACAGGTCGCTCGCTCTCTCACTCCCCTAGCAAGGAAAATAAAAAAAACCAACTAAACAGCAAAAAAAAAAATTATAAAAAAACTAAACTGTCAGCGACAGCATTAAAACTAACAAGAATCGAGAGCGGCATTCTCAGCATTTTGCACATTCCCGGAACGTCGAAGGACCCGGACACAGGACCCAAGAGGGGAACAAATCCAGCCCCCCAGTCCCTTGTGGCATGCCACATGCAATTCAATAAGAATTTCTCCACTTGCCAGTGTGCACCAAGGAACCAACGAAACCTGAACGAGCGGGAAGGTCGGACACGGGGCGCAGTGTTCCACCAATGCATGCCAAACACTTGCTGCGGAATTCGTAATTGTGTCACACAAAGGAGCGACGAGTCCTGGCCATAACTATAACCTTTATGGCTACGTGATTCAAAGCCATCGAAAAGCTAATAAACCCAGAAACGGCTTAGCTCGCATTTGTCGCTTACGGATCCTGTAAAGTTTGTTAATTTACATTCGAATCCTGTATTAGTATAGTTGATACTTTGAACTGTTGATATGACTTTTGGGTTCTTTTAAATCTTAAAAGGAGTATTTTATGGGGATTATTTACCCTTGGGGTTGATTTTCTAAAAGAATTTTCCGCTAATTCAAGTAACATTCTAAATGATAACTTTTAAAACATAAATAATATAAATTTACAGATTTTTAAAAGTTTTAAAAATTTATAAAATAAACATATAGGTCTTTGATTAATACTCCTTATCCTTTAAATAAACGTAAATATATTCCATAAAAGAAAACCTTGTTTTATTAAGAGAAATATTTTATCCAAATTGGTATATATTTATACCCTTGCAGGGTATTATAATTTCAGTCAGAAGTTTGCAACGCAGTGAGGAGACGTTTCCGACCTTATAAAGTATATATATTCTTGATCAGCATCAACAGGAGAATCTTTCTAGATATGTCAGGAAAAAATCGATTTTTTGGCCATTTTTGCTAAATTGTATAAGGGTTACATCACTAAAATTTTTGATTTTGATAAAAAATTGAATTTTCAAAATGAAGTATGCAGATTTATTAACTGTAGAAAATCTTGCACAGAACAGTTTTTCGATTTAAAATTAATGTTCTTTTGGCCGAGTTATGATATTTTTAATTTAAAAAAAAATCAAGAAGTTTTTTAATATAAAAATTCAGATTTAATAATACAAAATAATATTTTTCTAAGTCAAGGAATCATTTCCGACCCCATAAACCATATATATTCTTGATCAGCATTAACATACGAATCTTTCTAGACATATCCGGAAGAAATCGATTTTTTAGCCATTTTTGCGAAATTTTATAAGGGCTTACATCATTAAAATTAGCAAAAATGGCCAAAAATTTTGATTTCTTAAAATTTTTAATTTGGTATGCAGTTTTTTTAAATTAATAAAAACTAACACAAAACTGCTTTTCGAATCGAAATTAATGCATTTTTGGCTTAGTTATGATATATTTTAATTGTTACCTGCAAGGGTATACAAACTTTGGCTGGCCAAAGTTAGCTTTCTTTCTTGTTTTAGAATATTTTCATTTTACATTTTCTTTACGAATTTTTTAAAATTAATTATATTGAGAAAGTAATTACTTTTCACATTTCTTCTTATTTTTGGGGCACTTTATTGGAATCTTGAGGTCAAGGTTTAATTTTAAAATATTTTAGGGAATATTGTGTTTCTGTTACTACACTATTAAAATAATTGTGCTGTCTTATTATTTTTCTTTTACAAAAATACATGTATGGTTATTTAAATGTATTTTTTAAAGGCACTTTTAAACATACCGCCACTGAGCGTCTGACAGAAGCTTAACAATACAAAGTTGAGGTCCTTCGTTAAGCGGAACCATGAGCGCCAGAAAGAAAGCCGAATGAATCAGTTCAAAAAGATGGAACTCCAGGACAAAGTTCCAAGTCCTTGAGGTTAATGAGCCTGAAATAGTTATTCCGACGGGCGGTTAATTTAAAAAGCGAGAAACTCTTAATGTAGTTTTAAAATCCAGTATTAAAAAGAAGGAAAGTTAATTTCTACACCCTGTTTGAAATGATTCCTAACTGAACAATAAAGATATCTTTTCTATAACATATGCATAAAAAAAACGCCTATTATAGAAGTGCTTCAAGCTAATCTATCATAAAAGATAGGAATTAAAACCCAGGTCCAAAAAAGAATGCTTTTAAAAATATATAACAACCAGTTCTTTTTTTTTTTTTTGTAATTTTTATTAAAAATGTAAATTCTGAAAATGCGGAATACCATAGTTCTTAAGACCATTGACAATCAGTTTAGATTTTCTTCTGTTTTTCCCTCTTTGTGTTGTCTGCCGCGCTTCGATCATATGCAATATTTTTTGGGTATGCTGCTGCGATGAACTCTTTCGCTTGTTTACATTTTCAATACCATCGTAATCGTTCTTTTTTTTTTTTTTTTTTTGGGGGTTACAATTATAATGCTGCATTATGCTTGTGTGTGTGTTTGGGGGGTATCTTTGTGGTTACGATCACAAAATAAGAGAACCAAGCAACTATTACGGGCAATATACATAGACAATATATATATATATATGATATATACTTTATTTTGTATACTCGTACAACTTAAATCCAAGCATAATCGCGTGACTGACTGGCCGTTTGATCGGGGAGAGGGGGCGGTGATTGGGGGGAGAGAGAGTATGCGTCGAGCCTTAGACCCTTGATCGGGAGTCACAACAAGCTGAATCCGTGTGAATTTGATTTAGTCGCCCAACACTCACATAGTTATACATATACATATATAGACGTTCATACATTCGCGACTGCTTGTTGTATAATTTATGTTATATAGGTTGTATGTGTGTGTGTGTATATATATATATATTTTCTAGGCATATCCAATATTGCGCGAAGCAAGCATGTCGTTTTTCACATCTAAAACTTCATCTCTCGATGGAAAAGCATTTTCGTAATACAATTTCTGGATTTTCGTTTTGTTTAGTTTTTTTTTTTTTGTTGATTTTATTTAATTCGGTTTTTATCTTGGGTATTTTTTCTTTAAGGTTTGGCCACGACGCTGAGACGATTTACGATGTGTTTGTGGCTGATGTTGAGCTGTTCAAATGCACCATAACCAGATGAGGCCTCGCTCCTTGCTTACTGCTCCTCGTCGCCCAGCTCGTGCTTGATCTTGGAAAAGTCGAACGTCTCGCCAGTGCCGCGCTTGAATATGTTCAACACATCCAGGCAAGTGGTCTCGAAGTGCGTAGTCGCGTCATACGACTCCGAGATGAAGATCTGCGAGCCGGAGCCATCATCGATCGGCTCCAAGTAGTCCGAAATGGTCACAAACTTTTGTGCGATCGGCTCGAGCAAGTCCAAGCCGGGCTTAATCTCAACCTCCGGGTTCTCGGTCTCCACGGTGGTCGAAACCATGCCGACGAACCAACCCTTGGCGGCCACCTGGTGAGTGGAGCTAACCAGCGACACATAAATGTCCGACTTGCGTCCGACCTGCTTTTGTGGAATGATAATCTGCGTGGACAGACCGTCCTTGGTGCTGGCCACCGGATGGTCCAGGATGCAAATGCATCGAATCACCTTGCCGCGCTTGCGAACCTGCCAAATAGAAGGTGGAAATAGGTTTATATTTAATCAGAGTAATAGGTGCAATTGTTTGAACTGCTGCTGCTACTACTAACCTTAAATATTATCAATTATTATCAATAATCATAAATTATTTTGTGTGCAAAAAAATGTATACGACGCAAAACCTTTATTCCAAGAAAATTAATACTGATTACTGATTAATGTCCAGAATATAAAAGCTTATTTTGGCCATGTTTAATCCAGTCGATTCAGCATGGTCTCAGGGCTCTGTGTTCTTGTATTTTTGGGTTTATTTTCCCAGTTTTTGGCCATTGAAATAACACCAACGATTTCAGATGGTGAGAACTAACTACTATACAAATTTTCATTATTTGACTTTTGATTACCCTTAGGTGTTCCTGAAACATTTAATATAACCAGAAAATTCTTTGAACATATCGGTAATGGTTACTATTACATTGAAAAGGTTAAAAGCCTAAATTGGTTTGCTGCTTTCGAATCATGCCGGCAAGTGGACGCCCATTTAGTTGCCTTTGAGTCCTTGGAGGAATGGAATTCGGTTATTCTTCACCTCAAGAACAATAAGATTGAAGGTATATTCTGGACTTCTGGCACAGACTTGGCAAATCAAGAAGAACATGTATGGTTTACAACTGGTCAAAAGGTGACTTTGGATAGCATTTGGAATGAAGGAGAACCCAATAATGATGGTGGAAATGAGCACTGCGATGTGGTGCTCTCTGCTAAAGATTCCATAGGTTTGAATGATCTTGAATGTGAACTGAAAAGACTCTATATTTGTGAAGCCCCACAACCGATTACAGCCTCTTTTGTTATCTGGTAAAGAACTAATAAGCTAAAGGGTTTTCTATTTGTTTTTGGATATTTACTTAACAAAACCGGGTCATTAAGGGAAGTACCTAACTTTCTTTGTTTCATATAAAAGAATCTATCTTTTAGATACAATAATAAATCTAGATAAAATGTTCTTCAAGCTAGCTTTTCTTCTTGTCTTCTTGTAACTACCTTCCCATTTTTGTGCTACTAAGTAGTACCAAAAGTGTAGTTGGTAAATACTATACATTTTAATTGTTTTACACTCTATAATTCTATTTATCATTTAATTTAGGCGTTTAAAAAAGAAATTCTGTGCCCGTTTCATTGCTTGTATTACATACACTAAAATAAACTGTTAAATATTTATTCAAATACCCAAAACTCATCTGTTTCAAGTGTTCTTTAAAATACTCACCTTATCGGGCACGTAGCTGGGATCGCAATAGACCTGCTTGCACTTGGCAACCTCCTCGCCGGACCGCACACCCACCACCTTCCCATCCTCGCCGAGTACAATCTCGTCAATGGGCTTGTCCAGCATGTAGGTGCCGCCATAGATGGCCGAGAGCCGGGCAAAGCCCTGGGGCAGCTCACCCAGGCCGTACATCGGATAGAGGTAGGGCGACTTGCCGTACCTCGCCAGAGAGTCCGAGTAAAGCTTGATGCGCCGGATCGTGTTTACGGCCGGCTCGTTCAGATATTCGTCGTCGCGGAACAGGGCCAGGGCGTGGCCGGTGAAGTCCTGGGTGTTCTTGTCCAGGCCAAACTTGTCGTACAGGCCCTGCATGTTGGCCTTGGTGGGATCGAAGTCCTTCCAGGTCTTGGGGTCATCCTCCCGGAAGTCCTGCACGTAGATGAGGAAGTTCCGGAAGCGACGCTTCTCGAACATGCCTGTGAATATATTTGCATTTAAATATCGTATTCGTAATGCCATATTGGTCAGTTCTGGGAACAGGATCTGTCCAATAAGGGAGGAGTGCATGTCAAGGGTTTTAAGTTTCCGTTTTCCTTTGCATTTGCATGTCACAAACATACATACATATAAAAAAAAAAGACACACAACTACAGGGCGGACCTGTGCTTGAAACCTCCAATTTAGGGGGCGGGTGGAACCACCACCAATAATCAAAAACCACTTGGCCAACGAATGACGTCATGCGGAGCATATGTATTATGCGAACCTACAGCGAAGCGCCCTTCAAAAGGAATAATATTACAATTTTGTAAATATTATTATTAAATTTGGATTTAAATCATTGGCTTTTACCTAAACAAATTAAAAAAAAAAATTGTTCACGCTTTTAAACGGAATATAACAAAATAATAATAATAATAAACCAAATATTCAAATATCATATAAATATGACAACAACAAAATATTTGTCATAAGAATTAAAACAATTATTTACTGAATATTAAGTAAGAAACTTTACCTTTATAATAACAAATAAAGTTCAACCCCTGCCATGCCTCACTGTAAAGTGAAAGGGTTCAATGTGCCGCAAAAAAAAAAAAACTAAAAAAATTGGATTGCAAAAACTAAAAACTAAAACAGAAACGATTTAAACTACAATCATAAATAAATAGAGCGTGTTGACTAATTGCACTTGATGGCGGCTGCCACGAGGAAGGGGGAACAAACTGCGAAATACAACTTAGGCGAATATCAAGTGTAAAAAAGAAGAGAGCAATTAACGACAGGTGTATGAATCATCTCCTATTAAATTTTTTAGTACAGCGAAGCTACTACAACTCGAACTCTATAACTTTCTGATATATGCACCTAAAATTAACGAATAAAAAAATGATGATAAAAAAATAAATATACCAAGAATAAATTGATAGATTTTTAGCTTATTTAAGTTCCTATTGAGATTCTAACTTGTGGAAGTTTGACTGTATTTTTTTGTTATTATCGAAAAAAAAACCCATCAAAAATTCTAATCAGCACAAGGGCTGTATAAATTAAGAAAATGAACCAATTGGACTGAAAAGGTGTGGAATAAGTGTGGAAATTTGTGAAAATTATCTGGTACCAGAAAAAACAACTGTTTTTCATACACACATACGTGTCAGTCGAAAACCACAACAACAACAATAAGGAACGTTGGTTTCCAGCGAGTGTGAAAGCCGAGACAAAGAAAGGTTGTAGAGAGCGAAAGAGAGGAAGCGAGAATGAGAGAGCGAAAGAGGGGGAGGCAGAGGGCTCAGATAAGAGTCGAGTACATACACACACACACACGCACACAGCTGGTAATTTGCACAATTTCGGCAGGGTGAAAAAGAAAGGCGAACAAAAAAAGGGGCACAACTAACCCATGAGATCGGATGCCAGGGCCTCCTTCTGGTCCACCGGCACCTTGGCAATCTTGCCACCCTTGTAGACGTAGCTGCCCTCGATGGACTTGAACTCTAGGTAGCGGGTGACGCCCGTGTGGATGAGCAGCTTGACCAGCTGGCCGTTGGCCATCAGGAACTTGGGAATGAGGTCCACGTTCCAGTCCCGGCCACGCCCAAACCGCTCGCCGGGCGGCTCCAGGCCGTAGCGCTGGAAGAGCTCCTCCAGCGGCGTTATCGAGGCGGACTCGCCGCCATAGTACTTGTTCCGATCAATATGCAGCACCTTCTTGCCGGAAACGGACAGCATCCCGCTGAGGATGCACTCCTTCAGGCCCGTGCCGAGGACAATCGCGTCGTATTCCTCATTCATTTTTGCTCTCGGTTTTTCACTGCAAACGGGGGCTCAATTGGTTTTTGGCTTTCTGATCCGGCTTTTTGCGTTTCTACCGTTTTTTCACTCGCTGCGACGTTCGATGGTGGATTTTCTTCAATAATTTTTCCAGCATTGCCAGCTGAAAATTTGGCCAATTTTTCCAGCATTGCCAGATGAAACTTCCCCCTGAAAAATCCACACCCGATATTCGAACCACACCCGATATTCGAATCCCATATTTGCTTATGGAATAAGGCTGCCAGACTTTTCGTTATTTCAGGGCTGCAAAATAGGGCGCGGTTTTCAAAAATGCATTTATTCAAGTACAGTAAAATCGGGCTTATCGAAATATTTAGACTGAAGCACAACTTTTTTATTTTAAGCTAAATTGTTCTAAAATAATAACAACGTCAAATTTTAGATATATAATTTTATATGTCTCAACAAAACATAATTAAATTTTTTTTGTATATACAACAAGCCTTCTCCATTTTTTTTTATATACAAAAAGTGTGTTTGTTTTTCTCTCAGGAGTCCAGAAAGTCCAGTCATCGCTAATTAATTTTCTGTCATGTTAAATACTCCTTTATTTGTTTTTAAAATTCGCAAAAAGATTCAAAATGCATTATTAAACATAAAGCTGAAGTTGTGATTAATTAATTCCCAACCGAGCTGTATTTATACCTCGAGGCGCTTCTTATCGCTCAGGGACCAGGCCTATCTTAAGCTTCGACTTCAAGGCTCCATGGCAAGGTTATCGCTACATTTTATTATAAAAAAAAACAATTGTTATTCCTAGAATCAAAGTGTAAATAATATTTACTCCTCTTTATTGACTCCTCATACCCAATTATGCATAATTTTATATTTTCTAAGAATTTAACACAATTAATCTCAAACAGTGACCTAGAAGTAAGTAACTGAATTAATTGGAATCAATAATACTTTACGACTGAATGACCGAAAAGATAAGGACAAAGTTAATTAATAACACAATCACACATAATTTATTTATTTATTTTTTTAATTTTTCATGTAAGCAGAAATGTTTGGTAGTCATATAAAAGATTATTTTACATTTTGCTTTAATTTACTGAAGGAACTGTAATAAATAATTAATACTAATAATATTACCTTTATGTAAATGGACTCGGGGTTAGCTGAAAGCTTTTTGTAAAGCTCTTGTCTTTTAAAAAGCTAAAATTATAGTACAAAATTTGGTACATCCTTTGGTCAAAATCATAGAAATAAGTATGTAGGTTCATACATCGATTTATAGCACCTACTGAAGGTAAAAGGACATAGATTAATTAAAACATAGCTTGAAACATAGCGCCTGTACAAGATAAACATAGAATTAAGATACATAGCACGGAAAACGTAGAAAACAAAATATTTCAAGCTTAGAACATGGAATATATTGATGAAAATATCGCCTTTAACATAGACTAGAAATATTCCTATTTCGACAATGATATAAGAAGTATTAGATTTGGAACATATCATCAGATTTTAAATAACTGTGGACACTACACTTTATTAGATCAGAAATAATTAATTAACAGAGTTGCAAGCTTCAGACAAAAATTATAATACACTGCAAGGGTATACAAAATATGCGAATGATTTTATTAAACATTTTATTTTATTTTCAAGGCAGTAGGCATCTTTTTATTTAACACAGCAAAATCATGGATGGATTCATTAGTGAGAGTTCCTATTATAGTTCTTCGTGGAACCATAGTTGTAGTTGCGTGGGGCATTTCTGCCTTGTGCCGACATTTCGTACACCTGATAGCCACCGCCGCTTTGAGCCGCATCATTACACATGGGATTGTTGGCAGAAACCATGGCGACGACGGCCAGCACGGCAAACAGGAACGCCTAAGGGATTAAGGAGGGATTAATTAATTACTTGAAATAATATTTAATCTGGAGCTGGTTGCTACTCACCAATAATTGCATCTTGACAGAAGTTGTGGTTATTTCATTAGCAACCGAGCTGTATTTATACCCAGAGTCGCGTCTTATCGCATGCAGACCAAGCTCGAATAAAGCTTCGCCTAGCTTATCGCTATTATAAACAAAAATAAATAAATAAAAGAAAACAATAACCTATTCCACGGAATTCACATTAAAAATATATTTATTAAGGTTAACACTCTGACACTTGTTAATATTTACTACAATCTTTATTGTATGTGTCATCACACAAATATCAATGAAATCCAAGATATGCATTGAAGATTAAATAATAAATTAAGATTTACCTAGTTACAATAATGTGTACACAATATTCTACGTATTCCCAGGACAAAAGTCCTGAGCTTTGGCTGTGCTTTTTATGTCCGTAAAAAAATACGCAAAACTTGACAACTAGCGCTAAAAGCGCCTAAAAAGGATCATTCAATATTATATACGTTTTCAATAATATATAAATAATATATTTATCTTAGAAATACATAACAATAAAATAGATTATTTTTTGAAAATTTCAAAATTAGATTGCCTGCGTCTCTATATCGCCCATCCCTAAGAGTGACCACACGTTTACTCGTTACTTACTTACTCGTCTTTCTTTCTTTATTTGTTTACGTTTTTGCTTTTTGTTATAAATAAATACAATTTTTTTTAATGGTCTACTTTATTTAACTCTACGCCCATCTGTAAGGAATTCAGAGCACAAACAACATGGAAAAGGACATAAAAACCGTGCTGGACATTCTACACCTAGCAAAATCTGTGATAGATCTATGCGAAAAGGACAAACGACGAAGGAGGCAGCAACAGACTGCCTTTAAATGTCCTCTGAGAGAGCTGCTCCTTGGCGACGAGGAGACTTTCCGGGCCTTTCACAGTATGTCCACTCTCTCCTTCCGCAAACTGTTGCGCATCCTACGAGCCCGGCTGGAGCGTCAGGATTCCCAGATCACAGGCTCCGTGCCCGCCGAGGTGCGCATGCATATGACATTTCGTTTTCTGGCCACTGGCGAATCATTCGCAACTCTGGCCGGCATTTTCCAGCTGCCCAAAAAGAGAATCAAGGACATTGTGGCGGAAACACTAAGTTCCATCGTTAAGCGACTGAAGAGAACGTTTCTGGAGATTCCCAGAACCGAGGAGCAGTGGCTGAGCATTGCCAGAGACTTTCAGGAGATGTGGAACTTTCCCCATTGCCTCGGGGCTGTTGGTAACAGGAAGAAGTTCATACTTTGTAGATTTATTTATTATTTTCTGTTTTTTAGATGGTCATCACATAGCTTTCCGTTCCAAGACCATAACAGATGCTAGCTATTCCAATTACAGGCAGTTCAAAAGCATCATCATGTTGGCCCTGGTGGACGCTCAGCACCGGTTCCTGTACGTTGATGCCAGCTGCAAGGGCGGAGCGGAGGACGCCTTCACCGACAGCCCACTGTTCGATGCTATGGAGAGCAACTGGCTAAATATTCCGCCAGAGAGCAACTTACCGGGCCTGGAGGAGGAACTACCTCATGTGATACTTGCCGATCAGGGTTTCCATTTGCAGCCGTGGCTTATGAAGCCTTACGAGACCAGTGAAGCCCAGACTATGGTCAAAAAGGTGTTCAACTATCGTCTTAACCGCGCTCATCGGGTGGTGGGAAATGCGCTTGGCATCATGAGCAACAGATTTCGAGCTATTCAAACCGAACTTGAGCTGGAGGAGGTGTCACAGATAACGAATCTTGTTAAAGCCACCAGTATTCTGCACAATTTCCTGATAAGCGAGGAGCGGGAGGAGTATCTGCACGGCCTAGAAACGGAGGATATAGACTTTATGGCTCTCATCCCGGGCGATTGGCGTGCTAATAATTTTCTTATGGGTCTTGCCCCCCTATCCGATCGACTGGATGACTGCGAAAATGTGGCCCGCTCGGTCAGAGATGGCTTCACCACCTACTTTAGCTCCACGGGAGCCGTGCCTTGATTAAGAAAGTTCTTAATTTTAGATCAATCTTGCCAATAAACTCTGAGAAGAAATTATTTTGAAAATTATAAGAATAAGTAAATATAAAAATAAATAATATTAAAACTGCTTAAGACGTACGCACAAAATTACAATTTAACAATAACTAAAATTTATAAATGTTTTAAACAATTTACAAACGTTATAAAATAATTTCAAATATTCCTGCCACTCGTCATTTTATCGCTTAGTAACGGTCACACTTTTTGTATTTTTGTCTACCAAAGTATGGATCTCAAATAAAGCGTAATTTTTTTATCAAGAGCTTTCACACATTTGATTTATTTATGGAATTTATTAATAATATGATGTGGAGTAAAATACATTTTTTTAAAAACACACCCTTAAATAATTCGATGTATCGATACATCGATGTTCTTCCACCTCTAGGAGAGCTGTTTTACAGAAATTCTGTTACTGCGATTCCATAGACAAAATTCTGTTAGCCTCTCGTTAACAGAATTTTCTGTAATTGCTTTCAAATTCAGAGTGACCAAAGAAAAAATATCAAAAAATGTCAAAACTCTGATATCGCGACTTTGGTATTCGGGCCAAAAAAATTTATTTACATTTTGTTTTTCCAACGCGTCGGTTCGCGGTTTTGTGTTGGAAAATTATTTTGTTGTTACGTTCCCCCGCGCTGTCGCCGTTTGTTGCTTGTTTCGTTTCGGCGGATTTTCGCGTGTTGTGCAGCAAGCGGACCAACCATTCCAATCATACATAATTTTCGTGGAGGAAAACACACGGCAATGTAAATGTTTGATTGTTTTTCATTTAAAACGGAGCTAAACAATCGGGCCCCCTGTTTGTGTGTGCGTGCTAGTGTGTGTGTGTGTGGAAAAGTGAAAATGCTATTTGGGCCATAATTGTATCGAAATTCTTAGCAACAACGAACACCAGCTCAAATTTTGTGGCAAAAAAAATGTATAAAGAAAACCACGGAAAAACCCAAAGAAGAAAAAATAACGAAAAAGGTTCAGGCAAAGAAATGAAAAAGTGAGCGGCGTGTTTCGATTTTTACTGCCTTTTGGCTGTCTTTCGTGTTGCGGTCGTTCTTCTTTCAGAAACCATAATTAAATAGAAATATTAATTGAAATTTTAACGAATTGGCGAAATTCGCTCTTGCGTTTTGCCCTCTCGCTCGCTGGCCTGACCTCGGCTATCATATGTTCCCGCGTTGCTGTTGTTGTTGCCTTGAATGTTTAGTGTTTGTTGCTATGCTTAAAGTTTTGTTCTCTTTTCCGTTGAAAAATAGCTAAAAATATAATACGAAAATAAAAAGAAAAGAAGAAAACTGTTTCCCTCAAAACAAATCGATTCAGAGGATAAAAACGCCACGTCTATTGTTTTATTGGGTAAGTTTTATTGGTTTTTGTTTAAATCAAGTTACCATGTTGAAAAATTGCAAAGGCTGAAGTCGGGGAAAAAAAAACATAATAAACCTCAGACGGCGGCAATCTACAGAAAAAACAAGTTGGTTGCCAAGAACCAGTTAAGCGTTCCAGACCAACCGCCAGCCACCACCCCCTTCTCCACAGCTGACGGGTTTTTACCTGCCCGTCGCTCTCTGTCTCTCTTTCTCGCCGGCTATGGCACAGCATCCGATCGTTCTTCCTTTTCCCTCCCTCGCGCCCGCTCTGTCTCACCCGGCATTTAATAAGAAGCAAACAAATTCAAACAGTCGCGGCGGTTTTTAAAATTGCTTCTTTTTATACTCGGCAAATACGATTGTGATTGCAGTTTGCCGATGCATTTGCCAGACGGTGCACAGTGCAACGGAATCAGTAGATAACAGGTATCTTCTTGCTTAATGGCAATGTTCTTTAATCTCAACCGTAAATTGAGTTATACTACCTCTTAAAGCCCAGGAAATTAACAAAGAAATGTGAATCAAGTACTAAGTAGAGAAAGTATTAATAAAATTATAACAAAACGAGGAAGTAGTTTCTAAAAAAAAAACAGAGCCGCGTTTTTTGCCTTACCAATCCCAAAGGGATAAAATTTGGTAGTGGAAACAAAAACTCCAAACTAGCCAAATTACTAAAACTGGTTTTAGAAGTATTTGTTTTTTAGCAAGTATCGATCTGTCTGTATACAATGCAGTATTTAGCTTTACTTTAAGTTGTGTCTCAGGTTGAATAATAAAAACAAAACCACTTTGTTCTCAACAAAAAAAATTAAACAAATAGCAGCTGTCGAAAATTTCCGCTTACATGTATGCTTACCTGGAGTTATTTACGCCTCTTGCAAGCTAGGCCCCTACCTGTAACATAATTAAATTCCCTTCAATATGTACATTTTACTGCCCAATTTTTAGTTATTGAAAAAGAGGGTTGAGTCAGAATTGAATTCTAGAATTCTGGGTCAGGCCTTAACGTTTTGAACCCTCTTCTGGTTTTATTATCACGACAACCACTGTGCCATGTCTTTGAATATTTCTTGAAGCATCTCGTCTTCTCTCTGCTTCCAGCTTTACCTCAATTGAGTTCAACGCTAGTTGACGTTACTCGCTGACTAATTGCAGCCGGGAGAAAGAGATGGAGACAGACAAATACTGTTACTTGATGCGTTGTTTGCTCCTCGTCTGTCTCTGTTTCTTGCAATCTATTAGCCGCTCTCTTTCTCTTGCACTCCCCCACACTCCCCTTTTAAGCACTTTCCACCCCCCATCCTCCATTTGCTATTGCTCCAGGTACCGTTAGGGCAGAGCTTGAGGCAATTGACTCCGATTCGCAATTCGCGATGCAGTGGAAGCCCAAAAGCAGCCAAAGATGAAGCAGAGACAAAGAAAGAAAAAGAGACCGAAACAATGGAGAGAAACGGAAGCAACAGTCAACTTATCTCAGTTTTTTTGTTGTGCTTTTACAGTTTAACGCTGCTGATTATGGTTGGCTTAGTACTATTTGAATTTTATGACCGAAATTTAGCTAGCATTTGCGACGTGTCGCAAACAAATTTCACAGATACTGGCATAAAAATAGCAAAGCCTTTCAAAATATGAATGTATGCTCATATAAATTAACTTGCTCGTTGAATAAATCTATATTTTAAGTTTATTGATTTTTGTAAAGTATTACATATATATTTCTAAGACAGCGTTAAGATATATCATATTTTAAATGCAAAATCTACACACGTCGTGTTTTGGTGAAAATGTTTTCAAAACTATACATATGTATGTACCTTCACATCAGATTATCAGATAATTAGATCAACTAAATTGCTACCTATTGAAGTTGATTGCTGGCCATAAACATGTTTATGTGTAATTAACAATGATATTTACCCAAATACAGGGTTTATTATAATTGGATTATTAAGGAATTTGGTTTTGCTACAGTTGTTTATTATTTCAAAAGAAGCTTATCACCCAGTTTTTTGATTCCTTAGGGGTTTTCACATTATTATTATTGGAAATTGTGTGTTTTTTTCAATAGGAAGTCCCGTTCCTGGCATTAACCATTAACCGTTGCTCTCAACGCGTATAAAGTGATAAGGGAATTCCGGGGAAAATGCCTCTTGTATCTGGGTGTACGTGGCCTGGCCGCAAAGCGTGTCTCTTCGCCTCCGGGCCTTATCACGACGTCAGCTGTCAGAGTGGTATATATTATATATAGACTATATATATAAACATTCATTGGCTGGGGTGTATATCATATGGTAAGCTATACTATGTATATAGTTGTTCCCCCAATTAAGTGCCGCAGCCACACTTTCGGTTTATTTGGCACTGGCACTTAATTGATTCCTCATTGCGTTCTCATGGTTGGCCTGCGATTTGGTGGGTTGCGTGTTCGGTTCTGGATTGTATACATTGATAAATATTCGATTGTGATTGCATGGATAAGGCTCGTAAAACTCCTCATTCTGTCATTATGATTTGTGCTTTACGTTATCGGTTATGGCTCAATTCATAAGGTTCAGTCTTATCTTTCGCAACTTACTTTGTCTTTGCCTTGTCATAAACAAAGCTTGCGTCCACTCTGGAGAAATATTAACTCAATTTTATAAACAAAGCTGCTATATTTTGTTATGTAAGCAAAAAGCATTGTGGACAATCCCAATCCAACACAATGAAAAATTCTAAAAATATCGAAATATTTAGCTCGAAGGGACATTCCCATGTGTTTACCAATGAAGAAGATCAAAAGTAAAGACGGAAACACATGCAAATACTTATAAATAGGAGTCTATGCGTTTCTAGTGACCACCAACAATGAATCTGTACACTTTAATCTTTAAATTTGTCAAGAGAAGCTACATATTTTGATTGGGTTATCGCCTCTTATATTTAGCAGTTTAATTTATGAACTGTTTTGCATCCATTTTAAGCGCAATCAACAATATTTATTTATGATTTAAGCAAATTCTGGATAGGGCTTGCAATCTGAATAAAAATATTTTAAAGAGCCGCAGCAGTTCTTTATTATTTAGCTTGTAATATTTTTCTTGACCTCCAACAGTCCCACACATCTGTTGCTTTACATTTTCAATCATTCCCTCTACTCTTCAGCTCATTTAGCCCATTAAATTTAATGACTTTCGACCTGGGCAGGTGTAGGGGAGGCATATTTCCCATAGTATTATTTCTTACTTAGTTCGTATCGAAAGCCAATCGATCTCTGGCTGGCACTGTGGCAAATTAAGAAGGAATGCGAATAATTGAATACATTAGTATGTTAATTTCAATTCGAGCGGTTTGCTTGGGCCAAAGTTTCAATCAGTAGGAAATTTAGTAGTACAAGCCCAGATGTTGCCCAACTAGAGGGGAGACCAAGACTGAGTCGTGAATCGTGAGGTAGAAGTGCTGTAGAAATATATTTAAATATCAAATTTTAAGTTAGTTTAGTAGGCTACCATCTTCCTTTTTAAATAATTTATAGAAAGGTCTCAGAGGGTATCATAAACTTAAATAAATTAACAATGGTACTCTACAAAACTTACCATTCTCTTGGCAAATGAACTATCGACATTCCGAATTAAAAAAATGTAACCCTTGCAAATACGCAAAAATCTCAAGAAAACTTAAGAAAACAAAGCCAAATAAATTTTAATAAATTGTATTTTATTCCTAATTTATTTGTCACGAGCACGAGCTCTTCTGCAGCATAAATTGTGGGTTGCCTGCCTGCCCGCCTGCCTGTCAACTGTAGTGACGTTGCGTTGATGTAATTGAATAGATAGGCAGCAAGTGGCGGCGCCCCCGTCAACAGTTTCTAATTAGTTGTGAAACTTTGTTTGAGGCTTTTGCTGTTTTCTTTCCATTTTGCTGGCTTGAAATTTGTCTCGTTGACGCGAATATTCTCAGGGCGGTCGGAAGTTTTCCCATGTCAAATGCCAAAGCACATCGTAGATTTTCGAACTCTATTGTTCGGACTCACAAAGATGGCTTAATTAAGCCAGCCCACAGAATTAGCATAGGAATGACTGAAAAATATACACTCCTATGCAGTGATTTGCATGCGATTTGACTTGGTCGTTGACTCGATAAGATTTATGCTTTTAGCCAAGTTTGGGAATATGTATATTTAATGCCTTTTAGTTTCGACTTTAAGTAAGAGCTTTGAACTGAGCTTTGAGCATTTATATCAATTCTCAGTATTTATTCTTATCGAGGCGAGGTAATTATTTATCACTCCGAATGCTATATCAATTATACGCCCCGTTGCACGAGCATTAATCTCTGGAAATGGAAAAATGGCACAACAGCTGCACGAAGTGCTTTTGAACCCGATATAAATGCATTTTAGCTTCCAAGTTAATGATGGGAAATGAGGAAAAAAGGAAACAAAATGAAAGATGTATCAGAATTCTACAGGAAACTTCTATGGGATAGGCACAATGGAATACACAAATATTTTTTGGATTATTGTTATTGTGTTTTTGCCAAATTGTTTATCGGTTTGAGAACTCTTCAAAAAATAAATGGTTTCATATATGAATAATTAAAACTGGTGCGAATTGTATGTGTAAACAACTGGGTTGAATTCACCTTTTGACCATATGGAGGAGGAGGAGGAGAACAACAAAGCAATTCGACCTTTTGCGCATTTGAAAATTTTGATAGATTTTTGTACAAATATACATTTAACATGAGAATCAATTGGTATACAAATCCTTAAACAAATTAAATGTTAAAAATAGGTTTCCAACGCTATACTTTTGTGGTAATTTTAATTGAAGTAATTTTGTAATTTGAGACATCATTGATTTTATATTTGAAAGGCTTCAACCTAGCATTGTTTTGGAAACACACCACAAATTATTATAATTACTAAACATATATTGTTTGTGCTCGCTTGTCCGCTTTATATGTATATATAATTAATGTATAATTGGCCCAACCATAAATGCGTTTTCAATGCAAGGTCGGGTCGATCGGCCATCGGATTGAACTTAAAGTGAGCACTCAAACAAAAATTATTGCCCAAGCTTCAATATTTTATATTTATGGTTTGTCAGAGTGGGCTGCACATGAGTTTTTCACCTCGTCAATTGCTTTTCAAATAGCTTTTCTCATCCTGAGTTCAATAACAATGACAAATGAGCATCTGATGAACGAGATCGAGAATGTCTTGGCCAGATGGCGTCCGCTTTGTTGTTTTATTTTTGTTGCTATTAAAATGCAATGAACTTTACATTTATGTTTATACCTTTTGCCTGCTCCCATTTCTCTTTTGGCTTTTCGGCTTACTTTTCGATACACCGATTCTGCTGGTAATCACACCCGGTTTTGGGCTTGGCCTGGCGGAATTGTGTTTATCTTCTCGATATATTTCGCATGTGCGTGGCTAAAAATAATTCCCATTTTGTTGGGAGTATCGACAGCCGCAAAGGCAAAAGCAAAAGCTAATAGCCAGATACGGGGAGATACCTCCACATCGATAGAGGCACTTTGAAGTCAGCAGCAGCCATTGAAGTGGCTTCCACTAATTAGCCGGGCCGGGACAGAGAGTAAACTTATCAGTCTGGCTGGCAGGCTGCCTTCTTGGGGTCGTTTAACCCATCGGCCAAGTGAATAAATCAAGTTTTGGCACTCGAAAGTTTTTTTTTTGTGTTTTTTGTTTCTTGAAAATTGTAGCTTGTAGCTCGTAAAACGGAAAGAAAGGAAAATTTAAAGTGCCAGACAGACAGACTTGGTAAAAGTTTCGTTCTTTTCTCCATTGCACTTTTCTTTTTCTGTATACTGTATGTATGTATATTATATTTCTTCATTCTTGTCTGGGGTGTCTTTTTATGGTTCTTGGCCATGACAGAGTCGAAAAACCAATGAAAGCTAAATGACTAACAATTTTAGTCGTGGAACTACTAAAAAGTCTAGCAAAAATTGAAACTAAAATGCTCAAAACAAAGAAAGTTTTATTTCTTCTGCGTGATTTATGATATTTGACCAAAATCGGTGATTTTTACTAATTTAGATCACATAAAAACCAGCAACAACGAAGAAACGAAAGAAAATTTAAAGCTGAATTCGGTCGTGTGCCAAATTCATTTTTAGCTTTCTTATGCCCACTGAAGATTCTTTTTTGGTATTCGTAAATATAACGAACATATATAGAAACCGCAATCGAATGTACATATAAGTATGTGGAAAACACGTATGTATATATATTTGGCAATAGTATTACGCCATTGGCGCAAGTTTGCTCTTCGGAATGGCTTCCCGAATTAGTTCATCACTCAATGAAAAAATTAAGTTAAATACAAATTGATACAAGCCAGTGGAGAGCATTAATTTGTATTTAATTAATAAAGGAGGCAAACGAACAACTAGGAATGGAATTTATTAATAAAACGTTTCATTCGAACGCAAGACCTCGAAAAGTGATATCTATGGAATTTATAAAGCTTGTAAACCATAATACGTATTAACTTTGAATTTAGTAGAGTATCATATATGATCAGTTCAAGTTGGAGGAAAATATTGACTAGTTAATATTTTATTATTACTCTTTTCTTCTTCTTCTTTTAATTTCTTCTCTTTTTAAGAGATTCTTCGAAGTTCATCCAGTATCTATTGAATGATTGAAGCTATTCTTTATGTGGCGTCTGCTTTGTAACATTGATAAATGAACGGCTACTGTTCCTTCTTAAGTTTAATTTTTCCATATGGGGAACACCCCAACGAGTTGCCATAGATTGTGGTACAACAAAAAAAATGTATCTCAGCGAAGATACAATTTCTGTGGAGGAAATTCTGCCTTTGTTGTTAGCTAGAAATCGTTCCCTTTCCTGCAAAATAAAATAAAGCTGACCTAAGCATAAATTCTATTACATACAGGAAATCATATATCAACTTTTACTGATCTAAGAAAGTTTTATTATGGAAAAATAAACTTTAAAGAGTAATAAATATAACATCAATTATAACCATTTAAATTTAATTATGCATTTTGCATTCTATTTCAAACCCATAAATAATCATTTATCGACTTAAGAGCTTATTTCTATAAATGGAAGTGTGACCAGACTGGATTTATTGTATCGAACAATCATTTTCAACCTTGAAATCTGGTACCAAAATATATAAAGAAGGGTTGCCAAGAATTTATTTTCGGAATATAGGAAGTAACACGCAGAATTTCGGTGGCCAACAACCAGTTTTGAAATTTGAATTTGAAAGAATGTTTCATTAAAATATGACCTCGCTTCCGACACTTTTGACAGCTCAAAAATCAAAGTTCAAGCTCAGTGTGAAAAATAGTATCTATAGTGTCGTTGGACGCCTTGAACTTTCAGTCTATTGTTGTTGTTTTCTATCTCTGTAAATACGACAATCGAATGGGTTGAAAAATCTTGAAAAGCAACAATGGCCAGCCCACATGCAGGTTTTTGGAGTAGAAAACGCCCCCACCTCGCCCCTCCAACGCCTGCACCCGCGTTACGCTTGACCTTGCGGGTCTTTCAGCTCGCTTCTGCTCTCTTCGTGATGTTTTCCATTATTTTCTCGTTTTATTTTTGCCTTTTTCGTCTTTTTGGACTGGCTTATCGGAAGCTTTAAGTCTTGAATCAAGGGCGAACTTAAAGCACGCATTTGTATTATTTTTTCTCGTTTTTATTTTTGTATTTTTGGTGGTTGAGTGCCTCTGTTTGGGTTCGATAAACTTTTGGGCAGCAATTAACCAGCCTCGTTATATTTTTATCGCCCCGAATGTAATTTGTTAACGCTATCTCCCACTCTATTCGCCCCCTTTACATCTTTAATATCAGTGTATATATGAAACGAAGGGTTTATTAGGGGGTTATTAAAATATAAGTTGTAAAAATATGAGGGGGCTGTTATTGTATTGAATTTAAATAAAAACATTTTTCCCAAATATTAAATTTAATTTCATTAGAATTTTTAATTGAAATTGTTTCACAGAAATTAAATGAGTAGCTTTTAAAGTGGTTCTCGTCTTATCATAAACTGATATTTCTGTACACTTAAAATATTTAATTGTGACTTGAATATATCAAATAAAATAATAAAACTAATATATCTTTCTTTCTTTCTGCTTCTAGATGGTCATGACCTCTGCAGCTGAGGAGGGGTCAGTGATGACGCCCTTAACGTTTGTGTCCAGGTGCTAGGATCTGCCTTTGGACAGCTGTTAGGTGGTTGCAACTGGAGCCACCTGTATACCAAGAACCGAAAAGGAAGCACCCACAGTATAGAGAGAAGAAATAACCGGCGAATAATTAAACACACATATCCGAGGTAGATCGTGGCCAGGCCGAAGAAGGTAACCTGATGGTTGTGGCTTGCGAACATGCCCTCAGCGAACACCGAAGACTTGCGGCGAAAGTTTCTAGTAGTGCAGCAGCAGCGCTCCGCACCGCCCAATCTGGCCGGCGACAGCCTCCAGCCGGCGGTTCCCAATGCCGCTACAACAACCAGCCTGATGATGACCACGTCCACGGGCCTGGGAGGTGGTGCGGGACTGAGCATGGGCATGGGCGAACCGGAGCGAACCTATGTCTTTCCCGGTGGCAATCCTGTAGTAGCTAGCGCTCCCGGAGGAGGACAGGGTATTCCCGGAGTGGCTATAGCGGCGCCGTCGCGCGGGCATGCCCGCTCAATTAGTCACGGGGGAGGCGCCATCGTCGGAGCCAATGGGCGACCCATTAAATCCGCCATGAAGGGTCACCAACGAGCCTTCTCGCAGGGTCAAATCACGGACTCACCGCCCGGCAGTGCTGCGCCCGCGGGAAGAGGTCACAGTCGCGTGGGTTCCAAAACGGATTTTATTCTACCGCCGGGTCACAAGGAGGAGCCTGTGAGGGAACCCTCGGCCCCAACTTCAGCAACTGGAGGTCGGGGTCATTCCCGGCAAGCATCGCGCTCCGAATCCATATACACACTGCGGCGGACGGAGGCGCCACCGTGGTGGAAACGCTTCACCCTGTGTAACTACAATACCAGCGATAAGTTCGAAGAGAGGAGCTACCGGATGGTGGTGCCCAATCACACAGTGCCGCCAAAGACCCCCAAGAGGGATCATCCGAATGGTCAGTTTGTGGGCAATAAGATCCGGACGACAAAGTACACGCTGCTCTCCTTCATACCGAAGAATTTGCTGGAGCAGTTCCATCGAGTGGCCAATTTGTACTTTATCTTCATCGTCCTGCTTAACTGGGTGCCGCAAATAAATGCCTTTGGCAAGGAGGTGGCCATGATTCCGGTGCTTTTTGTCCTGGGAGTGACGGCAGTGAAGGATCTCTTCGAGGATCGAAGAAGAAGGGCGTCGGACAAGAGGATCAACAACACCACCTGCAGGGTATACGATGGGTGAGTTATCAATGTTTATTTGTATATAAATTTAACTGGCCTTAGAGGAAGTAAGTGATGGAAGAGGTAGATAAGAAAATTATTGAAAATTAAAAGTAATTAAATTGAAATATCTAAAAGTAAATAAATGGAAATAGACTGATTCATAAACTTTAACAAAGAATATTTCTGAGTGAATCGTAGAACTTTACCTGTATCAGAAATTTGATAAAAAAAAATATAATATTCTAAGCCCAAAAATGATTACAAACTGGGGCAAATAATGCAATTTACCAGCAAGTCGCATAATAACATAATCAACTGGGCAGATTCATTCATAAAACTAGCTCAATCCAAAGTAAACTTGGATAATTGAATCATGTGAGAAATTGATGCCAACAGGTCGTTTAATCAATAAAATGGTCCAAAGTGTCACAAAAAAGTCACTTGTCCATTATAATCACGTTATTCTCCCCTGAAATTTGTCTGTCGTTACGAAAACTTTCCAGAAGTTTGCCATAACTGTTGAGAAACACGACTCCCGTTGGCCAGATTTCGTTGTAACCTCGGGGCTAGACACAGATTTTAACGAGCAGCCACTTGGCTTGGGGTCTGTCCTGGATTGTTATTTGTTTTCACTCCCTCGACCACTGGTTGCACATGGAAATTGCTGTTGTTGTTTGCCCGACGACCCCCCCCCGTCTGCGATTTGTGTTTGTTATATATATTTTAAAACGTGATCTAGAAATCGATAAGCAGCCACCGCGGCGGCGGCGGCTGGGTAAACTTTCCCTCACTGTTTGAACTGAACCCACTGCCGCCGTCGCCCCCTCGTCCATCTGGTGCCTCTTGTGGTTTCTGTTTGGGCTTGGGCATGAGTTTGAGTGCGGGTTTGGGACTGCGACCGGGCTTTTGTCCCACATTTGCGCGTGGTTGACGCATACTTTTTTACCTGCCTCCCCACGGTCTGCCTCTTCGGCTTGTTGCTGGGGCAAGACTTTCCAACTAAAGCGGCGATTTACTTGCATCGCACGTGTACTTACACTGGGGATAAAAAGGTTTTGTATAAATAAAATAAGTAGATTTGAATTTAGAACTTCAGAATTTAAACAAATTTGATTTAACCAACAAGATAATCCATAGATAATTTTAATATTTATTTGGAAAAACGGATAAATATTGATATATTTTTTTATTTATTTGTTTTGTTTTCTTCTTTAGAATATTAATATATATTTTTTACAATTTTCTCCAACTATTAAATTGCTTAGCTGGCTTTCCGGCTTGTACTGATCGTACAACTAACAAAAATAAACCCGCCAAAGACAAAGAGATCAGGTCTGGTATAACTGAAAAAGTATATGGTCTCCGTAGTTCCTCCTCCCCATCAATCCATGTACATTTCTCTATTGTCCGACATGTGTGCTGCTGACCAATGAACTTACTCTGTTGTTTGCTAATTATATTTACATTTCCCTATTCTCTTTGAGGCTCTTCGCAGAATTGTCATAAACCAAAGCAGTATTGTTGTTTGTTTGAAAAACGTATAGTTAACCGTGGTTGAAAGATATATAAAAGTAGTTAAATAAATGAAACGAAAATTAAGGTATTCTTCAACAACCCTTTTTTTTGTTAGCAAGAGGTTTTTAGGCTTTAAAACCCCCCTTAAACAAGTAGATTTATTTATTAACAAGATATGCAAAATATGCTAAAGAAAAGTATACCATAAAGTATGCCGGATTATTCAAGAATAATGAACTTTAGCCCACAAACAAATTCGCAACCGTTATAACCCAGTGGAGCCCACCATCTCCGTCCTTTCACAAAGGCCCCCACTTTACATGCAAATAACACGCATATGGGCTCCACTAAATATGGTAGTTTGGAGTCAACCGACTGGACAACTGACTCACAGCCGGTTGAGGCTATAGAGGCTATAGTGGCTATAGAGACTGGAAACAGGCCTACCACCGGTACTCGTACCCGCATCGTAAGAGGGGGGCATTACCAGTTTAACGGCCCTGACCATCTCACGCTTGTCCGATTTTTGTCCACGAATCGAATTCAAGACCATGTGCAGTTCACTCGCTCCGAATTATGATGAATCATTAGTGAATTGCTTGAGGTTTCTTTGCTCTATATTTCGCTATCATTGTGATTACGAGTGGGCAAAAATTATTGGATCAAGGTGAAGATTCAGAAATACATGAGTTTCGTAGTAGTATTTATTTTTTGTTTTGGGAAAATTTCACCCCTCCCCAAAGACTGTGTGTTAATTGCAACCCAATCGAATCGTTTGCGATGTGCTAACCGGGTGATTAAACCCAAATTGAAGTGCGAAAAGTCTGCGGATTTAATTAATTTCCAAATCAATTCACACAAACAAATACACAGAGAGTTAGTCATGAAGACAATTTCAGGAAGTGGAAAGGAAATATTTTAGGGTGTAGCTTATGCAAAAATAGTTGGAGAAAAATAAGAAAAAGTAAATATAACTATTGAATAAAATATGATTCAATGATGACCTATTTAAAAACTCTCAAAAGCAACTGATTGTCATATTTAAAAAGCTGCACGAGTGACTCAATAATTGATGAAAGCACCCACTCCAGGGCTCCTTGGGTTATAAAACACTCATTTAGTCATGCTGCTCCCGAATGATTCAATCAGAGTAGCTTGATGGCACTGACTTGAGTAAATTCCCAGTGATTACCGGACGGTTGCATTCGTTTTGCATCCACATTCACTTACTGCCATTGATATGGGTATGACTCGATCGTTGAAAGAATGCAATAAGTTCGCAATCAAAACAGTATATATATACATATTCAAAGTGAAGACGACGGACGAGGTCACCCCACTGGTTTTTCTGCCATATAGTCACAAATTGCAGCTTGAAGAAATCGCAGAAAGAAGAGTTGCATTCGTGCTGCGCCCACACTTTTTGTAAGAATATTATGCAACGTACTCTCCGGGCATCTGGCGATCTGAACGAGTCCAGAATCGTGCCGGAATTAAGCGGAAACTGTAAACAACAACTGCCACTCACTGTGTGGCTTGCCGCCCAATAAATAAAAGAATAAATATTATTTCCCATTTTGCGTTGATTTCTTGCTGCTGTAGAATTGCATTCCAGTCAGTGGTTTCTCTCTGGAATTACCTATGATATTGAAAAATAATTAATGAGAGAGAAACGTGGACCATAAAATCAGCATTTTTATAGTAGTTATAAAGTTCAAGTAGTGTGAAATACACACACGCGGATCTTGAACTATTTTTAAAAATGCATTTGTACTTGAACACGTCATTAAATTTAATTTATTACTAATGTAACAACATTTGGTAAGAGGCTTTATGAATTTTAAATTAATAATATTTGTTTATTTAAAGGTTTTTACTTTTTGCTTCAAATATGGCTGCAGTTTTTCTTGAAATTCAAATCCCAAGGAAAACTCTTGAGCCTGAATAAGGTTTTTAATAATTAATATATCCATTTAGAATTCCCTTTAACCGAAGTTTTTTCAAACTTTTTCTTAAACGTCTATTTGAAAATGAAATACATAGGTGAAACCTTACCTAACTGATAGGCGTGGATCAGCTGGTGTTTCTCCCAGGTGACAAGTGTGCACTTTCTCCGAAACTGCATGAATATATTCCGACTGTTGTGTCAACACCTGAAACGAAGCCAGACGATTCTACCCTAAGGTCTCTGCATATAGAATATGACATATAGAATATAGAAAAAAAAAAAATCACGGTCGCCAAGGTTGTGGGAAGAATTTGTGTGAAGCACGTTGGTTTTGTGGGCTCGAAAGCACAGAAAAAAGGGACAAGGCTGACCTTGAAAGGCTACAGAACCAAATGTATCTAAAGTCAGTTGTTGAAAAAAAAGGAAGCTCAGGTTATGATGTCATTATTAAACCTCTGTTCCTGTGATTTTCTCTCTGTGCAACCCAAAGATAACTATGACAAACCACCGATAGTTATGCTCTACTGGGGCGGATCTCTGTTCTCGTGCTCCTCCGGTTTTGGGTTAATGTTTGGCCGTTGGCATTATTGTTTGCCGTTTGGTAAAAGCCTTTATTTTCGCCACACACACTATTACACGCACTGTGTGTAAGTCCGAACTCATGACATTGAAAATGCTAAAATACAGCAGCACAGACAAACGAGTTTTTCCATATTCCCCCCATTCAGGTAAACCGGTTGGCAATCGCTGTTAACTGCCTCCGACTTGGGTCTCAGTCTCAGACTCAATCTCCGGATCTCAGCCGCAGCCTGGGAGACTCAGAGACAGAGGCGTTTGTCTAGCAAGAATCGTCGAGCCAGAATCCGATGTGGAGGCCAAAACCCGATCCCCTGAGAAGTTGGCCATCTAATGGCCATGTTAACAAACCCCAGAGACCATTAACACCATGCTGCAATTGCTGTTTGCTGCTGCTGTTGGTGAAGTTTTTCCGATTTGTCTTTGTGCGAGTGTATTTGCTGTCTTCACTTGTTTGCTGCAGTGTCACTGACTCGCATCAGCGGCTCTGGCCAGTTTCCATTTGAGTCTGGGTTCAAGCCAAAGCCAAAGCTCAGGGCGGAGGCTTTGGGCTCAGGGACAAGTTGCGGGGAAGTGTCGAGTTTGCGGGAAAATATGACCACCAAGGTGATGACTTTGGGTTCAAAGAAACACAGATTGGAGAAACAGAGATCTCAGTTGGTAAAGAATAAAGAAGTATAAGTAATTATGATTTCGAAATGCATAAGCGAAAAAAAACAGACTTGATTTCCTTAAAAAAATGTATCTTTCATGCTTATAAAAATTATGTTCAAACTTCTATAAAATGCTGGATTTCTTTAACGCATTTAATAAATGGTTTCAAAACCAATTTTGCTTCTTATCTTAGCTTGTCTCTCAATGTTTGATATTAAATCTAATTTTTGCTATCTCTCTCAAGTACATTTAACTTCTGACTCTTGATAGATCGTGGAATGTCAATCCTGTTTCCAGGAAATGCCCACACAAACACGAATCA